GAGCGATATATCTGTACCAGTTATGTGAATTATGTACAAAGACACTATCAGTCAAATGCAGTAGTCGTTTTCGACGGCTATCCCACAAGCGCAGATGAAAAAGGCACGAAAACCGCAGAGCGACAACGAAGATAAAAAAAAAAGTTACAGCTGATGTTCTGTTTGACGAGTCTATGTCTCCCACAGTTCCACAGTCAAATTTCTTGTCAAACGATGTCAACAAAAATCGCTTTATATCCATCTTGCAACGGAAATTTGAAGGAGCACAGTTCACCGTAATTCAGGCTACAGAAGATGCAGACACACTGATTATAAATACAGCTATCAAGATGTCATGCATCTTCATATGAATACGTCATTGTTGTTGGGGAGGATGTCGACCTCATTGTTCTGTTGAAAGCACTGTGCAAAACTCATGAAAATAGTTACCTCCTAAAGCCAGGGAGAGGAAAAACGGTCCAAAATATTTATTCGTCGAAAAGTTTCAAAGGAACCGATGTAGTGAAGGATAACATCTTGTTCCTTCACGCAATAAGTGGGTGTGATACGACGTCGGCCGTATTTAAACAAGGAAAAATCAAGTTTCTAACAACATTAAAAAAACATAAAGAGTTACAAGATCATATTAAAGTTTTAAAAATGAACATGCCAACCCTGATCAAGTTGCCTTTGCCGGTGAGAAATTTTTCCTTGCACTCTATGTATTCAAAGACACAAATTACACCAATCTTGATAAATATCGATACCAGTGTTTCGTGAAGTCGGTAACAAAAAGTAAATTCAATTTGGCATCTTTACCACCGACAAGCGCAGCTGCACGACAGCATTCGTTGAGAACGTACTATCAGGTTCAACTATGGCGTGGTTGTCCGAAAGTAGTTGAAGAATGAAGTTGGAAGAGAACACAAACTGGCCTCACTCCAATAACTACTTTGAAAGGTCCTGCTTCCAAAGCACTACTTGCTTTTTTATCTTGTAAGTGCAAGGCGGCTTGTGGTAGAGCCTGCGGATGCAGGAAAGCAGAATTGCGATGTTCGATGATTTGCGGTGTCTGCAACGGGAAAACTTGTGGAAATATCAGCCAAGTGACACTGGACGAATCCGATGAAGAAGACCTCCATTCGCTGCATGATGATTCTTTATCGACTGCAGAAGAAGAATCCGACGAGTTGAAGGAAATTAACATCGATTCTGGAGCTGAGGTAACCAGTTTCCCCGTTTTTTATATCGAAATCAACGAGCCAGGTCCATCTGGCCTTTGCCAAAAATAATTTCAGTACCTGAGTGGATTAGGACTACAGGGAAAACCACGTTAAAAAAACGCGCCGTGTACTTAGCCTCTTGGGTGGTGTGGAAACAAGTACAGCATTTAAAATCGAAATTGATTGATCATAAATTATTAACATGGATTAATTGATGAATTCATCGATTAATTGAATAATGGATATCCACCATTTCGTGATAAATATTTTTAAAGTCCTTAAATATCAGATTTGGGGACCCCTAATACACATATTATTTCCGAAACTCGCCACTACAGAAAACTTACGCAACATTTGTAATTTGGTAAGGGCACTTGTGCCTTAACGAGGGTACTTTAGCGAGAATATTCTAGGAACATATTTTATAGGAAATATTCTCTGTCAGCAAGCTATAAATATAACGAGAAACCAATTAGATAGCCCGTTTCTTTATATAAGATAAATTTATACGCATATTTGGAGATAGTTAGGGGCAGTTTATTGAAATTAACAAAATATGATGTCATTCAATCAGCTCTTGGCCCTAAACGGCTCACTTCAGCAAAAATATACTGGGAACATTTCTTGTAGAAAATTTCTTCATCTTGAATTTTTATGTCCTCATATTTTTTTAAAAAACGCACCGTTTTGGATATATTTTCAAAAAACCGTTTTTGAGCGCCATCTTGGCAAGATGGCGGCGCCGGCGGCATGTCCCGGAATGTGCATTTTGTGAATTTCAGTTCTGGACACCCAAAACTATAATCCTACAAAGTTTCAAAACTTCCGGACTTTTTTCCGGGTAAAAATCCCCAATGACTGGCCTATTGGTCTTTGATAAAAAACGTTATCATTTGAAGTTCGGTCAATGTGGTCATCAATCAAAAATCCTGTGGTCGAAGTGTTATCCGAGTGGTTGCGACTGGTCGGCAATCGAAAACTCTTTCAAAATAGAGACATTCGTACCTTCAAAATTAAATAATAATTATAATTGACTCGATAGATGTGGAAAATATTATCACTGAAAAACGTGGCTGGTTAGTCACGTGTGGGCCAATTCGGCTTCTTTATTGGTATAGTGATGAATTCGATAATTGTTAGTAATAACAAAATATCACTGTAATACAAGGGATAACGTGAAAATCAAATATTCTGATATGTTCTCCAGAAGCAATCGGATAATTATGCATAAAAATTCTCCTGTTAATGAACAAATTATTGTCAATGAAAAGCAAAAACGCTGCATTGGGAACCCACTTTTCGTGGTCAATAAGAGTAATCGTATTATTGTGCCAAAGATTTCCAGTCTACGATATAGTATTAACAAATGTTCATTATTCGAAACAAGTCTTTCAGATATAGGTCACTAAACAATCAAAGTATGAGGATATTTATTTATTTCCTACTTGGGCTAACGAATCTTCATTGTGGCCTTAAAAATTCGTATACAGGGTGGGTCACGGTAGATGGCACCTTAGACGTTTACGGAGAACGAGACATAAGATCATTCTGAAAATTCAGTTACTCAAGTAATCGCTCTTGATCTATCGATCTAAAATATTTTCAGCTCTGCGGCGTTGCCGCTTCTATCGAAAAGTAGCAACAACTTTGTTATTTTAAATGGAACACCCTGTATTTTAGCATCTTCAGATTCTCTCTGAAGAGTTGATTTCATCGATATATCACACTTGGGGTCTAGCGGAAATGATTACAGAGATATAGGGTGTGAAAAATCGACATTTTTCAACTTAAGGAATTTTTTTTATCGAAAATATTCATTATTGGTCAAAACGGCTTACATGTCCCTATCTCAACTTTTGATTAACTATCTACTGATATTTAATTGGGACATATACCGGGTGATCAAGAATCTGAATTCTACACCACCCTGTATTTGTTTCAATTAAATGTCAGTAGATAGTTGATCAAAAGTTGGGATAGGGACATGTGAGCCGTTTTGACCAATAATGAATAGTTTCGACAAAAAAAATCCTAAACTTGAAAAATGTCGATTTTTCACACCCTATATCTCTGTAATCATTTCCGCTAGACCCCAAGTGTGATACATCGATGAAATCAGCTCTTCAGAGAGAATCTGAAAATGCGATAAAATACAGGGTGTTCCATTTAAAATAACAAAGTTGTTGCTACTTTTCGATAGAAGCGGCGACGCCGCAGAGCTGAAAATATTTTAGATCGATAGATCAAGAGCAATTACTTGAGTAACCAAATTTTCAGAATGATCTTATGTCCCGTTCTCCGTAAACGTCTAAGGTGCCATCGACCGTGACCCACCCTGTATACAGTGCTTTTCGGTCCCCCCTTTTATTTTTTGAACGAGTCAACTGAAAAAATTGAAACTTGGCATAAAGAAATTGATGCATGAATACTGTATTTTGAAGTAACATTGACAGATGAAAATTTCAAGATGGTTACTGGGCGACATCTGGGGAAAAAATTGAATGGACACATCTTTTTGAAGCTCCTGACGAATACCTCACAACCCCAGAATATAAAGTCAATATCTTCACCTACAACAAAATGGCGAAACATTTAATAGTTGCCTGAATACAAACGCATCAATATGGATATTGTATTCCAACAAGAGGGAGCACCTCCACATTACTCCAGACAGGCGGCTCGGTGGTCGAGAGCGTTAAGGCGCTGAGTTCGTATGGGGACTCCCACCGAGACCTAGGTTCGAATCCTAGTTAGGCCATGGATGTTTGTGTTTGTATGTATACCTAACCCCGCACAAGTTTCGACTTATGGGGCGTTTGGTCCCAGTGCTGGGACTAACGAGGTATGCAATTGCGAAAAAAAAAAATTTAGAATCATTTGGATAATATTTTTTTCGGTCGTTGGATTGGCCGTCAAGGTCCAACGGAATGGCCAGCCCGCTCGCCAGATTTGACACCTTTAGACGTTTTTTATGGGGCTATTTGAAGCAAAATGTGTACGAGTGTACGAAACTGCACCTGCTCCAATATTAGATATACGAAAGAGGGAGTGTTCGGCTTAAAATATCGGATAGGCTGTTCTTATGTCAAGAAGTTCAAGGCAACCATATCGAGCATCTTCTGAACTGAACTCAGCTAATTTCCTCAAATTATGAAGTAAACATCGACGTATTCAGGCAATTATTAAATGTTTCGCCATTTTGTTGTAGGTTTGTCGTCAGGAGCTTCAAAATGATGTATCACAAGAACCCCCTTTTCATTTAATTTTTTTTTCACGCATGGCAGACAGTCGCCATCTTGAAACTTTCATTTATCAATTTTACGCCAAAATATAGTATTCATGCATCAATTTCATTACTCCAAGTTTGAATTTTTTCAGTCGACCCGTTCAAAAGATAAAAGGGGACGGGGGCGTAAAGAACAGCACTGTATAGTGTTGCTCATGATACAATGATTTGCTGATATCACAAAAACAAGTTATTGAAAACCTACAGTGGATGCAGACTCATTATTTACAGAAGAGAAGTGTTGCAAATATTAATTTAGGTCCCCAACGACACAGTAGAGTAATTGAATGCCAATAATTCATGATCAGTCCACTCGCCCATTATAGCCTGGCCAGGATGTTTTCAGGCAATCCATTTTTTAAATAATTTTGCGCAGGTTAAATTACTTATAAAATAATGTTCATCCATTAAACAGATGGGTAAAGGGCGACCCTATTTCGGATCTGAGACTATTAGTATTACAAAAGTTTATTACGCTCTCTCTGAAAGTTCGCAACTCTTATTTTCTCTAGGCTGGTTCCGCATTTTTTGCATTTCAACGTTTCCGTCAAGGCGTAGGGGCAGCATTCACAACAAATTACGAGACGGATGCAAACATGCCTCCTTCGTACCCATCTTATCCTGGAGGTCCAGAGTCTGACCAGCCCTACCAAGAGCCGCCTTTCTCCACTGGATCCAATCAAAGAGGTGAGACAAGGAAACCATCCATCCTTCTCAAAGTAGTCTACGTTTTTTTCAAGAAAAGAACAGAATAACAGCAAGTCGGTTGACCACACAAATTGTACTACACAAAATGTATTGTGACTAGTTTCGGTTCAAACAGCCATTTTCAGACACATCAGTACACAGTACCTACCTGTAAAGATATTTAATTTACAGAGGAACAATGAGTTGTTGAGGAAAAAACTTACCTATAAGGCCATGTAGAAATCACATTATAAAAATAAAGAATAAAAAGAACCGTAGAGTCATTTGACGAAAAAATCAGTTCGGTAAAGGGATACTTAGATTCTCGAACCGACTAAACAGCCAAAAGAACCCAGCGATCATCAGGTTCAACATTGGCACAAAATTGGGGAAAATACTTAATTCAAATGGCCATTTGTGAAAGACAAAAGACAAGGAATGGGCGATGCGTCAAGCATAGCAACAAACGTTGGCAGGATGACAAGACAAATGACAATGACAAATTATACAAATCAAATGATATGGACAAAATCAGCGTTAATTTTGGAACATTATGAGTTGTAATATTATTACAAATAATTCCTGAAGAGAACCATGAGTTAATTACTTAATCAATTGCGCCAAAACCTAAAGTTTTGAAACCCTCGCCTTGGAACAGACTCATCCACATATTTCTCAACTCAGATAATCCTAACACTACATCTTCCTTTGCAAATCATATTATTGATTCCAGTAATTCTTTTGATGTTTACCCCAATATGGAGATAATCAACATTTGCAATAAAGATCCACGGCTAAACCTCTTGGAAATGTTAAAAATTCAAAAAATCAATTACCAAAATATCAACTGTCAACGACCAAACTAATTTTGAAACCACATTTTTCGCACACTCAAATTCTCATGATCAATTTTGTCTTGTTCGCATTCACTTAAGCCAGCCCTGTTTTGTTCACTTTCCTGATATCTTCTTCTTCTGTCTTTGGTTACATTTACTTCACCTTGTCATTTCTTCTTTTTTTGGCTGATTTCTCCTAGTCAATCTCCTTTAGGTTTTGACACAATTGATTATGTAATTAATTCATTGTTCTCTTCAGAAATTATTTGTTATATTATCATAGCTCATAATGTTCCGAAAAAAAGATACCTATAAGGCCATGTAGAAATCACATTATAAAAATGAAAATAAAGAGCCGTGGAGTCCTTTGACCAAAAAAAATCGGTAAAGGAATACTTGAATTTTTGAACCGACTAAACAGCAAGGAGAATCCAACGATCAGCAGGTTCAACATTTGCACAAAACTAGAAAAAAACTCAATTCAAATGGCCATTTGTGAAAGACAAAAGCCAAGGAAAGGGCGAAGCGTCAAACATAGCAACATACGTTGACAAGATGACAAGACACATGACAGTGACAAATGATACAAAGCAAATGACATGGACAAAATCAGCGTAAATCTCGGAACATTATGAGTTGTGATAATATCACGAATAATTTCTGAAGAGAACGATAAATTAATTACATATTCAATTGTACCAAAACCTAAAGCAAAATATGTGATGAGGTTGAATTAGAAAAATCAGCCAAACTAGTAAAGTATTGGAACCCGCTCCTCGGAACATAACAGACTCATCCACAAATTTCTTAACTCAGATAATCCTAACACTCCATCTTCCTTTGTAAATAATGTTATTGATTCCAGTCATTCTCTTGATGTTAACTCCAATATGTAGATTATCAACATTTGCAATGAAGGTCCACTGCTGAACCTCTTGGAAATTTTAGACATTAAAAAAAGGATCAATAACCAAATTATCAACTGTCGACGACCAAACTAAATTTGAACGAAAGCACATTTTTCGCACACTCAAATTTTCATGATCAATTTTGTCTTGTTTGCATTCACTTAAGCCGGCCCTTCACTTTCCTGATCTCTTCTGCTGCTTATCCTATTCAACCTCATTACGTATATCTCCTTTAGGTTTTGGCACAATTGAATATGTAATTAATTCTGGTTCTCTTCAGACATTATTTGTAATATTATCATAGCTCATAATGTTCCGAAATTTGCGCTGCTTTTGTCCATGTCATTTGGTTTTCATCATTTGTCACTGTCATTTGTCTTGTTATCCTGTCAATGTCTGTTGCTATGCTTGAAACTTCGCCCTTTCCTTGGATTTTGTCTTTCATAAATGGCCACCTGAAGATGAAACTCGTTTGAGTGAATTGAGTGATTTTTTCCCAATTTTGTGCCAATGTTCGACCTGGTTATCGTTTGGTTCTTTCGGCTGTTTAGACGGCTAAACAATTTGAGTATCCCTTTACCGGGATGATTTTTTGGTCAAATGACTTCGCGGCTCTTTTCATTTTCATAATGTGATTTCCTCGACCTTATAGGTATGTTTTTTTTCTCAACAACTTATTGTTCCTTTGCAAATTGAATATCTTTACAGGTACTGTGTACTGATGTGTCTGGAGATGGCTGTTTGAGCCGAAACAAGTCACAATACATTTTGTGTAATATATTTTCTGTTGTCGACCGACTTGGGGTTATTCTGTTTTTTTCTTTGAATGAGAATTGATTTTAATGATGTGGGCTTAATTAAGCACCTCAGAGTGAATATACTTCAGTCAATGAGAGCCCGAAAAGGGGGTGTGGATGCCATGGAAGAGGTCTTTTTTTTGAGACTAGGGATATGTTCAGTGTAAATAGGAAGTGATAATTCCAAAAGTCCCCGAATCTACGAGGGGAGCCAAGCGCAGGGGTAGACATAAATGGTCCCTATTTATGAATTATCGTTCATCTTAAAAACCGTACGTCGCAAAATGGTAGCTGATGAAATTATCTGCAAAATTGTATGAGTAGGTTTTTTGGAATATTTTATTGTTTATGAGATATTCGCTAGCGAATCATGTAAATTTATGTTTTCAGAACTGTAAAATTTTCAGGGAAAATATGAATAGTTATTGAATTGGACGTCCTCATTTCGAATCCGAAGTGATTTTCAACCCGTCTATCCTCCTAATATCATTTTCCAGAAATGTGTGGGGTTCATGGATGTTGGCGAGCAGTGTATATCACTGAAGATGACCCCACTTGGCCATATTGTACTACTAGATCTCATAACTAAGAGATCTAGGATGAACAGAGTTGCCCCAATTGTCAGCAGGAGCGAGACAGTACTGTTTCGACCCACCAGGTCTCATCAGCCGCTCTCGGTCTGCTGACAACTGGGACAACTCTACGCTTCGGGTATATTACCCATTTCGAAGACGCAGGGTATAACATGAAGTTATAGTCATGTTGTAGCCATCTAGTGGCAATAAAGCTTTAAGGTAGGATACAGAAATCGCGACACACACTGTATGGCGCTGCCATCTATAGTCACACGTACAGACCCCTACGTCTATACGTTACAGAGTGGTACTACAAGTAAACCACTCTGCTGACACACACATATTGTGTATTTTCGGTATATTTTCCGCTGCTATAAATTTCCATTTTCATAAGATACAAGGGTGCTTCCATTGGAAGAGAGACACACTTTACAGGGTATGTCACGACAAGCTTTCACTATCTTTATATCGAGAATCTGTCGAGAGAAATCCATGAAAATGTGCATGCTTATATTTTAGAATATGCTCTCTTCATTTGAAATATTTTCGACAATGCAGTGTTGCCGTATCTACTAGAAAGTAGAAGCAACATTAATATTTCAAATGGAACACCCTGTATTTTATCACATTTTTAGATTCTCCCTGAAGAGCTGATTTTATCGATGTATCACACTTGAGGATCGAAAAAGATTACACAGATATAGGGTGTTCAAAATCGAGATTTTTCAATTTTACTATTCATTATTTGTCAAAACGGTTCACATGTCCCAATCTCAATCTTTGATTCACTATTTACTGATATTTAATCGGAACAGATACAGGGTGGTTCAAGATTCAGAATTCTGATCACCCCGTATCTGTTTCGATTAAGGACATGTGAGCATGTTTCGACACAAACAAAGCCTATAGTTGAAAAATCTCGATTTTGAACACCCTATATCTCTGTAATCATTTCCGATAGACCCCAAGTGTGATGTATCGATGAAATCAGCTCTTCAGGGAGAATCTAAAAATGTAATAAAATACAGGGTATTCTATTTGAAATAACAAAGTTGTTGCTACTTTTTGATAGAAGTGGCAACACTGCATTGCTGAAAATATTTTTAATGAAGAGAGCGTATTCTAGAATACAAGCATGCATATTTTCATGGATTCTACTCGACTGATTCTCGATATAAAGATAGTTAGAGCTCGTCGTGACATACATTGTATACAGTGTGTGCGATTTCAACCCACAACACCCTCCTAATTTGGAACATGTCGACCGATTTTCGAACGAGCTCTATTCGAAAATGTGGACAAATCTGATATATCCAGATTTTCAAGGCCTACTTTCTCTTGTTGAAAGGTTCAAAATTTCAGAAACATCTATTAGGTAATTTTTTTCGATACAGTGACTAGCCTATTCGATTCAGGCATAGATAAAATACCCCCATACAAAATTCAAGCACAATATCTCATATAGGGTGTTGTTTATTCAACGGCAAATTTCAGAATTCTCGCTTTTTTTATTCACCATGTAATAGAATCTGAGGAGTTGATGAAACCGGTGAGATGGTAATTCACTAGCGAATCTCTCGAAAACAATGAAAGATACGGAAAAAAACTACTGATACAATTTCGTTGACAATTTAATCAGTCATAATTTTGAATAGATTGTCTTTTTTGCTGTGACATACCGTTTCCAAGATATGAACGATAATTGAAAAAAAGGGACCTTTTATGTTGCCCCGTGCACTTGACTCCCTCGTAGATTCGGGGACTTTTGGAATTTTCTACTTCCGATCTACTACGAACATATTCCTAGTCTCGAAAAAAAGTCCTCTTCCATGTCCTTCTACAACACGTTCATTGACTGAACTAATAGGAAAAAAGAGATTTTTATTTCGCTTATTTCCTCTGGAAAAAACATCACATTCTAAGAACCTCTGTGGAACCACTGCCAAGTCGACAATGGGCTTTTCCAGAATTTTTTTGCCATAATGTTATGAAGGGACGCCAAAAACTTTAATTTTGAAAACAAAGCGACATTCGAAAACAGAATTTTACATTTTCGTCATAAATTGATTTGAATTCGCTCGTTTATTTCGGAGTTTTCAATGATTTTTCATGGGATGATTGATGAATGAAAACAATGTATCAAAAAAATATTTTAAGGCATTCCAGAGTCATACATTTAGGGATGTTTGTTTTAAATGACTGGAAATGCCCATTCAAGAGGATTATATGGATAGAACATCTTAATCATTTCAGCTTAAATAGCTTATGATACAATAATTGAATTGTTTTCATAACATAATAGTATGTTTATAACAACTTAAGTGTCAGAAACTCAGACTAATCATTGAAACTTATTGTGAGGAACACAACAAAATAAAGCATAGGAGTTCGAGATGAAATGTGGCGGCACTGCGAAGATTCGTAGTAGAAGAGTAATTGTAGTAATAAATGTCATTTGTCGTTTTTGTTGTTATTAATGGTTTTCCGGCTTTTGTATGATTGATTATAATTCTGTCATTGTTTCAGTAACTCATTTAGTATTGTGAATCTAAATTAGATTACTTTGTGAATACATTAATTCTGGCAGTGTCAAATCTGTGAAGGAAAGTTCACAAATATCTTGCTTTGACTTTTCACAGGTACGTAGAAATTTGGTGCGGCTAAACTTTTCCTTACCTGTAATCAGATAGGAAAAATCAGGGAAAATCTCTTGCTAAGTCCTGTGGTGAGGAAATGCATGGTTTTCAAATGGTCTACTTTCGTTTAGCTAATCAGTTGTGTACGTAATATTGCTATGGCAACCATTGTAATGGCAACGAGTAAACAAAAAACAAATCCCGTAGTGAGAAAATCCAAGGTTGCCATTTAGCTGAAATCAGTTATCATAAAAATGTTGCTTTGATATGTGTTCAATTGTTAGACTATATGCGCTCTCAGAAGAATGAACGATTATGGATAACGTTGGGTCCTTGTGAAGGATAGTTACATTTTTTTTAGTGCTGGAAAGATATTCTCTTTCCTTATTTCCAATAATTTTATGGCTGGAAACGAAGGAATTTTCGTTTCGAATTTACCACCACACAAGAATCATACTGATTTGTCTAAGAAACTGTGGAGGAAAAAGTTCTATTCATGTGATTTCTTGAGTTTGTATGATGCTGTAACTTTCTTTCTTTGAGTCCTCAAAACCATTGAAAAAGATTTGACAATATCGACATTGAAAGCAGTCAGTGTATTCTAATTAAAATAGTCCGTCCGGTAATACAATTGATCTGATTTTCAATAACACATTCAACATTCAAAATGTACGCTTGAGCACTTCACCACTAGTTCCGGAAGACAAATATCATAATACTTTGGAATTCACTGTCAACTTCTATAAATCCTCTTTCTCAAACAACAGCAGCAAGCATAACTCTTATGATTTTTGTAAAGTTGATTATGAGCTACTAAAATCAGAACTATCTAAAATTGAATGGTATAATTTGTTTCTGTGTTTTATAATACTATCTTTTCGATAATTGATTTTGTAGTTCCAAGAAAAAACAATATTCACAAAAGATATCCTTCATGGTATGCATATAGTACCATAAAAGTTATCAAAGAGAAGAGAAAATATCATAGTTTATGGAAAAAACATAATAATCAAATAGACTATTTAACATTCAAACTACTGCGTGGTCGTTCAAAATTTTTAATTGAAGAGGATTACAAAAACTATATTAATCATTGTGAAACCAGTATCAACTCAAACCCGAAACATCTGACCAGATGAGATACCGACATCATTCCTCAAGAACTGTGCTGAATATATCGCAATCCCACTCTACATCATCTTCAATAAATCTCTCGAAGAAGGCGTATTTCCTTCAGTTTGGAAGAAAGCTCATATAATCCCAATCTTGAAATCCGGTAACAAACTACTCGTGAAAAACTATAGACCGATTTCAAAATTGTCAATCATAGCAAAAATTTTTGAATCAATTATTTTCGACAAGCTGTTCTTCGATGTTAAGAACATAATCAACATTGAACAACATGGCTTCATGAAGAATAGATCTGTTGATTCCAACTTATTCACCTACACTGAGTATATTCTACACAGGCTCAATGACAAACAACAAGTTGATGCTATCTATACCGACTTCAGCAAGGCGTTGTCAAACTCACTCTGTTTTGCTACAGAAACTTGCTGGTGTCGGAATAGATGGCAATCTGCTGAAATGGCTTCATTTTTATGTAACTGATCGTTGTCAAGCAGTAACAATCGGTAATAAAAAATCTGAATATCACCAAATCACCTCTGGAGTGCCTCAAGGATCTCATCTGGAGCCACTATTATTCAATATTTATATTAATGATATATCTCAATGTTTTCGATTCTCCAATTTCTTAATGTATGCGGATGATCTAAAAATATACCACTCAATTTCCGATGCTGACGACATCAAACTATTGCAGCAGGATATCAATCGTTTTCATGATTACTGTGAGCTGAATAGTTTATACATTAACTTTGAGAAGTGTTACCACATTTCGTTCGGACGCGGGAAAAGCATTTTGAGCCACTCTTATCAAATATCTTCTCGTCCCTTACAAACTGTTACAGAGATTAAGGATTTAGGAATAATATTCGATTCAAAAATGCTTTTCGATAAGCATATATTCTACATTGCTAAAAAAGGTTATAAAATGCTAGGTTTCATAATGAGAACTTGTCGTGAATTTAAAAACACACAGACACTCCGTACCCTTTATATGTCATATGTCAATAGTGTTCTGAGTTATGGTTCATTAATATGGAACCCTGGTTACGATATTTATATAAACAAACTTGAACGGATACAGAATATATTCATTGATTACGTCAATAAAAAATGCTTTCCATCCAACCCCAGCAACCGTAACTATGTTCGAAATGAGCTGAACTTATTATCACTAGCGCATAGAAGGAACATTTCAGACGTGAAATTTCTTTATAAAATCATAAATAATTTAGTTGATTCGCCTGCTATCCTCAGTAATATTTACCTTACAGCTCCTACTTATATTACAAGGAATCATCACATTTTTCGATACGAACAATCTCAAACAAATTATTTTTTGAACTCTCCAATGCATAGATGCAAAATATTATACAACGCTCTGTCGAATTCTATCGATATTGATATTTTCTCTTACTCACTTTCCAAATCTTCTTACATTTTGAAAAAACATTTCCTGGCTTCACCTACTTGATTTTGATATATTTTAACGTTTTAATATGTACGGAATAAAATTATTTCACCCTTGTTTGTATCAACACACTACAATCACTACATGTTGTACCTATACTCAATCATTTATAATTACTCCAATTATTGATTTTCATCAACTTTGTAATTGATATTCGATTTGTTTAGTTTTAATATATCTGTATGATGAGATATGACATATCTGTGAATACTGCTTTTGGGTTAGTCCCGTTTGTATTCCTATTCGTAAATAAATAAATAAATAAATAGTCCACTCGCCCAATTACCAGTCTACTGACCAAAACGATTTTTTTTCAGGTCCAGCTGATTTTCAGGCACCGGCTTATTGAAATTCTAAAAATATTAAGTTTCTTTAAACAGAATTGAGAAAACATGTCTCAATGAGATGTGAATAGAAAGCAAGATCTCGTTCTGATCTATTCCTTAGGTTGAAGAACCTCAATTTGTACTTAGCAGTGCGAATCTCGATTGTTCTAACCACCACATAGTATTGGTTTGGTCTCACCAAAAAATTATGGAATTTTCATTTCCATTGATTGTGATTTCGTAAGAGGCTAAGTTAACATTTTGTAGAATGTAAAATATTATACAAAGTCACGATGAAAAGGTACATGTTATATATAAATACATATAAATAAATGTTATATAATTATTTTTAGTAAGAGTTCAATGTACAGTTGATATTATATAAATGTCGAGTTAGCTGCTTGGGCGAATATTTACTTGTATAATTTTTTGTTTCATTGTTAGCTTTGGTATTTTCGATGTTGTTTTTTAGGCTATCCATGTTGGGAATTTGTTTTCATGTGCCATGAGTCAAAGTGTTCATTAATTTTCATTTAACCTATAACGTATTGGTGGCGATTAGCGCTAGAATAGGGGAATTATTCTAGATTTTTTCTTCCCATGATTACTGAATAGTCGCTTATTCAAATTCGGAATTTGTTTATGACTGAAAGTAGCTGTATTCACAGTGAAAATTTTCTGTTAATGGATAGTGCTGCTCATTTTTCATTGCTTTCAACAAAGTGAGACAATAAAAGATAAACTGATTAAAAATTGGACATATCTAGAACATTTTTGAGAAAGTAACAATTCAATAGCTTCAATTTCAGTTTCTCGCTGCTTGAAAAAAAAAGTAGTATAAAGATGAAGTGTCGCATAAAGAAGTTGATTTTTGTCAAGGTGATAGACTTAGTATTACTCAGCAATAAATTACCAGTTTGATGAAATACTTAGTGCTTGGTATTAACATTTTTTATTTCCTTATTTGTCAATAAAAATGGTCAAAAATGAAATTGGGGTCTGTTGAAATTTCATTGAACACGCTCTCATTACATACGCCGGGCGTAAATGTATACTTTAAGATCTCTTGTTGAATTTGCAAAGTTTAATACAGGGTGTTCCTTTGGGAAACAGTGGATAGATAGAGGGCATGAAGGGGTTTTATAATACTACAGGGCTTTTCCGGTGAAATTTAGTTCAAACCAACTCGAACCAGGTCATGAATTATCAATGTTTGTGGTTTATACAGATGGCCTGGGAATTTAATCATTTAATTGGCTTTTGGTTGATATCAGATATCAGAAAAAGCGCCAAGGGCGATTTTTTCTGGTTTCAAGGTCAAAAACATTTCAATTGAGAATATTTTTTGGGCACAATGAGATTAATATAAAAAGATGCGATCTAAAGTTCTGTAACTCTAGAAAATGCTGTCGGTTCAAATCCGGCTATCGGCTCAGCATTTTTTTCAAATGTGTGGTGCTTGATTGTAATCCTGACAGCACCTCGGCGCGCTAGAAGTGGTTCGGACCCCACTATAACTTGTAGGTCCCGCACTTCATAACCCTGCCTAACTTTCAACTTAACTTCGAAGTAGTGATGCAAATTCGCTGCTTGCCTAATTTATATTAGCATTTTTTCTTCATCCGATTCTACAGCAATCACCAATAAGTCACTCAGCTTTGGTAGGTTGAAAAAAATCTTCAATCAACTTCATCAGTTATTTGCTTCCTTATTTAGTCTAATATTACCTGATATTACATACATGCTTCGAGAATTTGAGAATAATGTTTTCAATTCTGAAGTACTGCTGTACATTTGTTATCTGTTCAGTTGATACCTACTGGAAGTTTTTATCTAAAATTATTATTTTGTAGAAAATCAGGGGGGGGGGGGGGGAAATTTTCCTGCCAATGTACAGTTCATTGTACCAGTATATCACCTGAGGAAGCTACTGAAGTTTTTACATATGAGATTGTTGTTGATCTGGAATATAATTTTTCTTACTATTTCTTGCTTCTCGCTTAGAAGATAGGTAGTGGAATAAGAACATATTGTGTACCAAATATCATAAATATAAACAGGTTCGTTCGTTAAGTTATGGCATATAAAGAAATGAGCAAATTTGAAGGAACATTCTATGTCAGTATATTGTGACTGCTAGACCCAACAAATACATACGTGTGTCCCATCTAAAACTTGTCACCCCCCCTAATTTCTGCAATTATATTCCAAAGTTGACATCTTGAAGCGTAACGGGTATCAACTCTCGATTTTCAAATGGAGCACCCTGTATTTCCCGGAAGAGCTGCTTTCATCAATGCACCACACTTGTTGTCTAGCGGGAATGATAACAGAGATATAGGGTGTTCAAAATCGAGATTTTTTAACTGTAGCATTTTTTTGTGTCGAAACTATTCATTATTGGTCAGAACAACTCACTTATCCCCATCTCAACTTTTGATTCACTATCTACTGATATTTAATTCAGACGAATACAGGGTAGTTCAAAATTCAGAATTATGAATCACTCTGTATTCGTTCAAATCAAATATCAGTAAATAGTGAAACAAAAGTTAAGATAGCCGTTTTGACCGATTATGAATAGTTTCGACACAAAAAAATCCTAAAGTTTGAAAATCTCGATTTGGTACACCCTATATATCTGTAATCATTCCCGCTAGACACCAAGTGTGATACATTGATGAAAGCATCTCTTCAGGGAGAATCTAAAAATGCAATGAAATACAGGGTGCTCCATTTAAAAATCGAGAGTTGATGATAATTGCAGAAAAATGTTTCCCCCGCCAAATTGAAATCGACCTGTCCGAGTGATTGTTTAACGACTTCGGAGATTTGGGGGTGACAAGTTTCAACTGGGAAACACTGTTATATGTTATATTCAGAATCACCTCGGTGGCCCTATTTAGTGTTGACGTTTTGCAACGAAACATCCTGTATAATCAAGAGGGTCAGCGATAAGATTTTCCATTTATAAAACTATCCAAGCTGTTGCAGAGTAGGTTTCATGGTTTCAATAATATAAATACTGATTATTGACAAAATAACTGCAAAAACCAATGAAATTTCGAGGTGCCCCAATTATATTTTTTGGATATTGTTTATGGTGAATTCATGAACTCAACTAAACTAGGAATTAAATGTTAAGTACAAAACAGAGTTAATTCTTGATATTTATTTGATGTTTATGAACACTTTCATCCTTTTTAGTTTTAATTTCTTGATCGTTAATTCATAATATAGTTGAGTTGGATTCACCATAAACTGCAATATTTTGAACAGAAAACGGCCAGTTTTGCTTTTTATTTCACTGGGGAGTGTTCACCCTATGTATAAGAGTTTTATTTTATTTTTCTCTCATCTTGTTATCGAGAAATGTGATTATTTTGAATTGATTCGAATATATTGAAAGTATTATTTACATGTAATAATGTTTATGTTGAAAATAAATGTTGGTATATAATTAATGACTAAGCAGTATTCAGTTTCCCCAAAATTCCATTAAAATATGATATAGTAAGTAAGAATTTAAGATGCATGATTTTTAGCATTCATCACTTGTGTGTGTTGAATGCTCGTTTACCTACTGCCACTATAGAAAGTAGGCAAGAACACACGAGATACAGCCTCAGCAAGTAGCTCTTTACGCACAGTAAGCACATCGCACAGTTTTCCGCCAGTCATGATCGCGTAATAGCCGTCAACAGCGGATGACCTAACTGTCAAGAATTATACTTCAGACAGTCCAAACTGTTTTGATGTACTATATGGCAGTACGTAATGCGTGTTGTAAAGCAATCACGCACTCGTCGCTCCGCGGCTACGTGCGTAATATGCTTCTTTCAACATATATTACGTAATATAACTATTACGTTACAAACTACAATGCATGTAAGGTACAATACAGGGTGTAACGTACGTTGAAATATTCGAGTGACGTATTTCTGAGATAATTTTAAGAAACAAGTCTATATAAAATTGAATACTGTGTGTAGGTTAATCGAGGAGGTGGTATATTTATTTTACTTGATTCTTTGGGATTTTCTCTCCTCGTTTCTATAAAATAAAAATATTCGTATTATTTCAATATATTTGTGGTGGAAAAATCAGATGATTTGCTCCAAAATGTCACTGCGTTCAACAAATTTTTCTATCAGGGAGTCTAAAAGAAAAATCCAGTAGCTTGTCAGTGACAATTTGTTTGAAAAATGTTTGAAGGAAAGAAATATAGATATATTGAAAAAATATCGAATTTTTACTTATCTTTGGACGTTTCGGGACCAAATCTGCTCCCGTTCTCAACATATAAATGCAAAATATTTGTCTCCGAAAGTTGTGCTGCTTATAGTTGAACACTTTTCAGTGTCATACTGATGTTGGCATATGAATGAGTGATTTTAGTCTACGAATGAGTTACAGGATGATTTCATTAATTGATCTCGAATCTACCATTTTCATGTTCAGTTTTCAGTAGTGAATACCATGTTCTATCTATATCAACTGAACAGGAAGCAATGCTATTGTCTCCGTTTAGAAGAATGCAAGCGGATTCCTTGATTTTTATTTTTTGGTTGTTATCTTCCTTTCCTATGATTTTGATATTATTCCACTCTGCCATATGTTGTCCATCTTCAGTAAGGATATCGATTTATCGATATGCCTTTTCTTGATATTGTACTTGTGTTCTTTAGTCCTTACTGAGAGAATAATCAAATCACTTCATGATCGAGCCAAATCATTATCATCTAACCAACAAATTTTCAATAACAAAATCAATCAGATTGAAAAAGTTCTTCAACTCAACTCATAGAGGTATCCAAAGAACTTCGTTGATAGAACGATTCACCAAATTGAAAACAAACAAAATACACCAAAACAAAAACAACCATCAACAACGACGAATATAATACCGTACATTCCCGGCATATCTGAGAAAATAAAACGTGTTGGTGATAAGTTCCAAGTGAAAACTTTGTTCAAAACTGAGATCCCTTCTAACTCAAACAAAGCCAAAAAATGAAGAACA